CATAGCTGTAGACATTTAATATCCTACGTAAGTGAAAGCACTCATCAACATAAGTATATGCGCTTACACCAGCATGCATACATGCAGCGACTGCATGAGCACATGGATATTTCCATGCTTGAAAACGACCACAATCACACCATTTCTGTCGTAAATCAACTCTAAATGTTTGGTCTTCTCCTCCGACGTTACGGCGCATGCACGACACGACAAAAGTATGACCAACTCGGTCGAAATTATGAACAACCATTGATGTTGCCAATCGCTCATTTGCTTCCATTTATTCCACCACTGTAGGAGCCCAAGTTTTACCTCTATTTATAAGACCTCTATTTATTTGCCTTTGTCCGACCAAACTTTAGCCAATCTAAAGTACGTCTCTTTCATCACACTCGCAATTGGGAGATGGCGTGTACCTTTTAGTACCGAATTAATGGCCTCAGCAAGGTTTGTGGTCATATGTCCGTATCTCCGACCTTCATCGTATGCTTGTGACCATTTTTCCCGCGGTATTTTTGAAGCCCACTTCCAAACACGCTGATCATCGTAAAATACCTTCAAATTCTCCAATCTCTTGTCAAAATTTGGTCGACGTAGTTCGTATCCTGTTTCATAATATACTGTGTTAAACCGTAATTAAAAAAAATCATGTAAAAATGCACAAATATTGAAAATAAAACTTACCCATGCTGACTATCTCGCTACGAATGTGTGCGTTATGAAATTGGTCGATACTATTCTTGCCAATATGACGGATACAAAATGTCGGATATGCATACGAAGGTATCCAACGACTTCCTGGTCGTTCAATTGCCGCCAAAATACCCGTTCCTCTATCGGATATCAAGCAAACTCCATCTTCACGAACGACATATTGACGTAGATTGGTCAGAAAGAAATCCCAAGCATCTATTGTCTCTCCCTCAACAATGGTGAATGCAATTGGGAAGATATTTTGCTCACCATCTTGAGCAACTGCCATCAAAAGTACATGCCTATATTGACCATACAACCACGTACCATCTACTTGGATCATACGTTTGCAAAATGGAAATCCTTCAATACCAGCCTTGAATGCCCAAAATAGTCTATGAAATATTTTCTTCCCTGGCAGAAGTTAACCTTCTTCGTCATATGCGGGCATGGTTTGAGACTTCACTATGGTTCCTAGGATAAATCGCTTCATTGCTTGTAGCAAATGTGGTAGCTCATTGTACGATGTATCCCAATCTCCATACGTCAGCTTCATTGCCTTCATCTTCGCATTCCACACCTTGCCATATTTTACTTGATATCCAAATTGGCTTCGAATAGATATAGCTAACACTGAACAAGATATCCTTGGATCTTTTTCAACCATCGCCTTCACGTATTCACATATTACATCGGAGTCCAATAGTCGGTGGTCTTGTTCGATGAAGTTTCGCAAACATGTGTGCGAACCATTGTACCTCGTGATGACCCAAACATCGTGCCTTTGATTTTTCGACACTCTGATCTTCCACTTGCACTCTAGGCCATATTTTACACACTTCGCGTATAGGGTTTTCTTGTTGGACTCTGCAACATGGATATCAACATGGCATTTTATGCAGTACTCTTTAATCGCCAGGGTAGCTTCATTTTTTCCTCTGAATTGCACCCCGACTGAAAATTCACCAGAATTATCGAATGATTCAGTCATTTGGTATGGAGGTAAATGTGGCATGTCTGGGAATTCAGGTGCCCTCATCGCATCATAGTCTATCTCGTACATGTGAGGAGTAGCTTCATACGGTGCCAGAACTTCATCAATTGCACCTCCACCAAAAATATTTTCGTCGCCGCCCAAAACGGGTTCTTCGGTTTCTTCATCTTCGCTTGAATCATCATGAATTTCTCCCCATCGATTTTCAGCGTCAATATCAACAACCAATTCCGGTATGTTTCTCATCTCATACTCTTCTGTTGCATATGTCCCCCCGACTTCATTTACACTTTCCAATAGTGCCATAAAACTGTTCGAGAACCTGTATGTCGGCTCCTCAAACTGACTATATAAAGTCATTTCAGATGAATTTTGAGCCACACCTCTTGATGACCCATGAACATCACATATGTTATGCACATCAACAAATAACTCAATAACTGCTATATTGGTTGACTCATGTAATCCAACCATGGTTCCAATATCATCATCTTCTTCAAGTGGAACTGCAACATATTTGACTGGGTTGGGGCATATCATAAACCTATACCTCAAACCATCAACTGCAACTCAAATTTTTCTTTCTATCTTATGCTTCATTTCTATAAATGTGATGTCTTTTTTGAACATCATATTTATTGGTTTTTCAGACTGAAAAACTACTCCGATCTCATTTTCCATAATCTGTCCATTATAATGGACAATCGTGAAAAAGTTGTTGCTCATTTCCTTTCCTTTCATTTCCTTTATTGTTTCTTTCTTCGAATCAATATGTACGTGGAAAAATGTTGTGGAATAATGCTCTGTACGTGTAAAAATTTTTTTTCTTTAAACAACAATAAATTAAAAAAATTAAATTTATATAATTTAATATATTATAATATAACTTAAACTAATAAACTATTTCTTTATTATAATATAATTTAGTTAAAATAACAAACTAACAAACTAATTAAGCACTAATTAACTTTTTTAATATTTTAACTTAAACTTCAACAAACAACCTAATATACGTTTAAACACACTAACAAATTAATTAAATATTTTTTACATTTAATAACTTAAACTAAGAAACTAATTAACTAATTTTTTATATAATCTAATATATAACTTAAACTAACAAATTAATATAATATAACTTAAACTAACAAACTAATAATTTATACTAACAAACTAATTAACTAAAATTATGTTTTATCCTAAACCCTAAACTAACAAACTAATTATTTCATAATTTCATATTAATAAACTAAATTAAACAATTAAAAATTACCTCACGAACGATGTTTGAGCCTTTATCTCCATTTCCTCTTCTTCTTCTTTTCCTTTCATTTCCTTTCTCTCGCCAAATTTTCTTTCTTTCTTATGATTCTACCCTAAGCCCCTCATATCCAATATATAATGATCTTTCAGCGGTTGATAAGCTGCAATCAATTTGAGCTGTATAATTCACGCTGAAGGCTGTAAATTTTTCAACCGTTGAACGCTGCAATAATACAACACTAATTATTGCATGCAACAGCTGATTTTATGCTGCACCAATACAGCTATGATAACAAGAGTGGACAGTCTCGAAGCTATGGCATGAGAGAGCAGCTATGGCTCAAAGCTAGGGCACGAAGCTATGACACTTTGCAGCTCATATCATGCTGCAATAATACAACTATTACAGCTGCATGCATGAGGTCTCCTGAACAGATGTAAGAGGAATTACGCGAGGAGCAGGAGGAATAGGTTCTCCTAAGCAGCTGCAAGTGGAATCAGACGCGAGGAGAGGATTGTATGGCTACCTATCCTGCATGGCCCAACGTTGGACGCCGGCGTGCATGGCAACCTATAAGGTCGCTGGGCGTACATGGCGACCTACCATCTTGGTCGTCGGTATTGCTTGGCAACCTACAAGGTCGCTGGGAGTGCATGGTGACCTTGTAGGTCGCTTGGAGTGCTTGGCGACCTACGGCCAGCTGTGCAATTCACCCTACTTCATCAATTAATCTTGGGAGAACGTTATTTCGTGAATTATTTATTTCCAAAGCATTATATCGTGAGTTTAGCCGGCAAAATTCATATAAAAAGATATAAAAATTCTATTCTATGTAGGTTAAATAGCCTATTACGTCCAAGTCACTTTTTACTCTACTCTAGTATTTACTTTTATCTATTTATTATGATTTGGTTAAAGCATATAAAATAGTTATTATTATATTATATTAAAATTTTAAAATTAATTATTATATTATCAAAATTTTATAAAAGTGATTCATATTTGTTATAAAATAATAATAAGTTTTAACAAGTTTATGATTGTTATAATAAATTTGATGATGATTTTATAATAGTTTAATAAAACTTAATTATTATTTCATAGTAATTTGAAAAAAATTAATAATTATCTGTAATTTTTGAAAATTTAATAATAAAAATAATTTTAACTATTTTGTTATTATTTGACTTGACGTTATAGTAATGCAAACGACTAATAAATTGCAAATATATATATTTAAAGTAAATTGCAAACAATTGAGTAAATTACACTTTGACCTTTTTGATTTTATAAAATTTACAATTGGGATCTCAATTCGTTTTCTCTCTCGTTTAAATATATAGTTTAGATTAATAAATCAAAATAAAAAGGTTTATTATCTTTAAATTGAGAATTCATTTTAATAAATTTCAATTATTTGATATTATCGTCATTTTGCACGTATTATATACTACTTACTATTCTTTTACCAATTACCCCACTGTCATAATTGTTTTTAATAAATCTTTAAATCATTTTAAGCACCAAAGATCCATAATACATATCTTTCTCTAGTTTTATCACGTCAAACTACTAAAAAAATTTAAGAATTATTTTACTTATTTTAAAATAAATCGTATTTATCAACAGTTTCTAAATTAAGTGATTAAAAATTCTCAATTAATACATTTATTTGTCTTAACAATTAATACATTTACATTTATCTGTCGTAAGTTGCAAGTTCAATACTGCAAAATTTCTCCTTCCATCCTTAGGTAGGAATTGTTCAAAAAGGAAAAATCTTATTTCTAAGATGTTAATAAAATGCAAAGAAAAAGAAAGAGAGCCAGAAAACGCTAATTTTTCTCAATGTATCGAAGTTTAACATTAATTTAAGTACTTGTTATTACACAAGCTCACATGATCCTTTCAAGAAAAAAAAAAGTGACTAATATATGGAGATATTCCTAATTATTTAGATATACATTACATTTATAAGCTAAACTAAGCCATGCCTGCTTAGGCTAAGCATATTGTGATTCTCTATTTCTCTATTTTCTCGACAGATCATCATCCCAAGCTCACTGTCCTCCTTAATGTCCTCATCTTATCAACAACCTTCCTTTGTAATGGTAATTTCGACTGCTTTCTTTTCAGAACCTGTAATGTGTTCATCATATGTACAAACAATAATGGATTATATAAAGAAAACATTGAGTTATGATAATTTTATTAGATCATAAGTATGCCAAATGCATGGCAGTAACATGTTTAAGAGTTACCTCTTGCTTTCGTCTTTGCTCGTTTTCCTCCTGCTCAGAGTTAAAAACCCGGAAACAGTTTAGGTCATTAGAAAAAAAAACCCACAGTAATTTGAACTTTTCCAGAAGATAGTATTTGTTTACCGCAATCTGCTTAAGCTTTGCATTCTCCTGTTTGAGTTGGTTCAACTCTAATTCCAGCTCAACTGTATACGCCTGCAGTTGAAGAAAGATGAGAATCAAAATTTAGTAGTTATTGGTATTTCATGTTATGTTAAATAAGTATTCACCTGTTTCCTTGCTCGGGATCTTGCCGCGGACTCTCGATTCTTAATCATTCGACGTTGTCTCCTTTCCACCACTACCTCCAGTGGACCATCTATGATCCTCTTCCTGTTCTGTATCATGACAGGCTCTAACAGACGATCGGTTCCATTTCCGTTTTCAGCAACATTAGAAGATTCCCCCATAACAGTTTTATTCTGTGTGAAAATCGGGTATGCGGTTGCGTAACCATTGCCTGGTGCAGCCAAGTTGCTGGCAACTATTTGGTGGCCTGGGAATCCTACCCCCATTACATGTCCCATTCCAAAGTTTGCATCCATGTTTCCACTGTTATTTTGAACAGATGTCAACATCTTTTGTTGTGAAGATCTGATCCCATCCCCCATTCCATAGTTCCCAGCTAAACTAGTGCCGTTGGTCTGCATAGGGGCCGCCTTCTTTTGTTGGGAAGATGCTGCTGCTGATTCTTGAACTACTCCGGCTTTGACGAGAAAATCCTCCAATGTCATCTCTCCGAATGTTTGTTGGCGCTGAGGAGGTTCGTGATTCGCTTCTCGCAGCTGCGGTAGGTCTTTTTGAATCTCGAACCAAACCTCATCCACTGTTTTCTTGCAAAGTGGGGTAGGGATCGAAAAGGAGCCTTGCCGTGCTAATGTCGGTTGGCCTCCATTGCCGCCGTTACCTTTGTCATTGCAAGGATCGTTTTGGTTAACTTGTGGTGGAGCCTGGTTTTCCTCCTCCACATTCCACAAGTTGGCAAGGAATTCATCCATGTTCATGGACCCGAAAGTCTTCCCACTCTTTAGTTGAATCTCGTCGAGAGTAAGCAAGAAAATGGAACTCTGTTTGTTCAAGGAAGAACCGGATTGGTCCTGTGTTAACTCCTCATGCTGCTGCGGCGGTGATTGCGGTGCTTGTGCTGGCGCTGCTGTGTTGATGCCACCATAGGCAACACTTTCTGATTCAAAAAGCTCCATTATTTTACCACAATTAGGAGACTACCGTCGCGTTTTCAATAATGACACAGGCACCACCTTTAGGATTATGCTAAAACAAAACAAAGAAAAATCTCAAACCAGTTCCTGCAATAAGAAAAACACAGATATCATACATAGTTCATAGCAGCAGTTAAATTTCTCATATGAGTATATAACACACTGTAAAATAATAATAAAATTGCAGATAAGTAAGACTTCAAGAGACCAGAAAAGTGCCATGAAATTTATAATTTCAGTAACTATCTTCTTCTCTGAAGTACTTTTTTTTCTTCCTTTTTTATTCATTACAACTTGAGTAGCAATATTTTTACTTCCCCAAAACAGAAATTAAAATATAATTACCGATATAAATATGTTAAAGCAAAAACAAATTGTTCATTAAACATATATTTGAGAAAAACGACACAATATCTATAATGAGTTTCAGAGTTAATCTATGAAATCTACTCTTTCATTCAAAAAAAAGTTGTATAAAATAAGCTAAGCTTTGGGTTAAGAACTAAGCAGCATTTCAGAAATTTAAAGAAAATTATATCATGCATGGATTTGATTTATGAAGGAAGAAAATGGAGAACATGAGATTAGGCTTTTGTGGCATTGAGAAAACCAAACATCGACATGCAAGAGCTTAGATCAACTATCCAAGGAGGAAGAAAACCATTAATCAAAGATATGAGAAATAGAGTAAGTAATGCATGTAGTAATTAATTAAAAAGAAACTATGAAAACGAAGAGGAAAATTATACCTGAATGTGATCCGCAGGCATAGGAGAAACTTGGGGAAAAAGGAACACCAGAAATTTCACTTCTTGCAATTTGTGGTCTGAAGAAGAAGAAGAAAGAGAAGAGAAGGGAAGGGAACAAACTGGTGTGTACTGTAAGTGCTGCAATGGCCACACTAATACATGCAATGGAGGGGGATGACTGTGGGGTCCACTACTGGGGCACAGTTTTTGACACGTTTGTGCCACGTGCCCTCTTTGCTTACGCCAAAAATTCCCTCCTTGTCAGTCAATTTCTCTTCAGCTGCCTCATCCACATTTAACCATGTCAATTTAGGGTCAATGCATATTTTAACTCTGAAATCAGTTTTAAATATTTAATTGGTCCGAACTCTTTGATCCACTATTTTTATTTAAATTTTAAATTTAAAGAAATGTGTCTATAAGATGCATGTGTGTATTGTTGATTAATTAAAATATTTATAAATAAATACTATCTTATAATCCTTCAAACTAATAAAATAATATATTTAATCGGTCCCTAAGCTTATTTTGAACGAATTTAACCTTTAAATTCAATTTTAGATATGTTTTAACTAAAATAAATGTCTTGAACCTTTAAAAATTAACATTAAGTTATTAGTTGGTACTTTGATAAATAAAATGAACTCACCATGGTTTAGCGTTTTATTTTTTATTGTTTACGAAACATTTTGAATAAACTGAAAATTCTACTTAAACAATCAATTCGACGGATATAATTTCAATCTGGTCATAATAATTTGAAGAAAAATAAATAAATAAAAGGTATATTGCTCAATGAAATCATTAATTTAAAGAACAATAATCTCATAGCAACAAGTAGTGGGCTGAACCTGGAGCCTTAGTATGAAAGCCGAGCCCCAAATTTAGTGAACCTTATGAAAGATGAAAAAGGATGTTTGGGATTAAGAGGCTCCAATGTTTTTGACCCAGATATAAAAGTTTATAATACAAACTTCAAACCCAAATCTATAATTGTAAAGAAAAATATATAGTATATTAATTTTAATATTAATTGTTTTATTTAACATTTATAATTGACTTGGACAAAGTTTTGGTATACTTCCATTTAGGACAGTCTCTGGACCCCTTAAAACTGGCATTTATGTTTAGGTAGACCTCACTCAAGTCCAAGTCAATTGGGTAACTGACCATCTTTATAATTTTACAGTTTGTGAAGTTGCCGGGAAAATAGAAACCGCCGTGTTTGATTTTTTTTTTGAAGAAGAAACAATTCTAATTTGGTAAAGAAGAAGTAAAAAAAAAGAAAAGAAAGTCAATGAAGTTGACTATAAGGCAATGGGGTGGAAATATGGTTGTGGGGTGGAATGCTTTACTTCTTTGTTCAACTCTAACCATCATTATTACATTTTCTCCCCTTCCTCCGTTTACTTGTCTTTATAACATTAAATCAGCTTTCTCTTTTACAATTTTATGTGCATTCTTCTTTTTAATATATATAATGTAATTATGTAAACCAATCGTACCTCGTTGAGGGTTAAACTCCACTCGACTCTAAAAAATTAATATATTATTTTTTTGGAGTTATTCGTGAAACTTTTGAGTCGGTTATTAAGTAGCTCAATTCGAATTGTTAAAAGTTTAATTAAAGTTCGAGATCGAATCTAATGTTGATCAAACTTTGATCGAGAACTTTGATCGAGTCATTTTAAATTCAAACAAAATCTATATTGATTCATTTTTAATCTGATTGTACTCTAATATATATTTTTAGTTATTTATATATCCAATTTTCATTTGATTATCTCTATCAACTAAATGTATTTTTTAATTTTTAAAAAAATTAAAAATTACTTTCTAAAAAAATAATTAAAAGATAAAAACAATAATTGTTTTTTAATATCGAACTAATATTAATTTTTCATAAGAAATCAACCTGAAATTTACAAAGTTTTCATTAATTTTCGAAGCACTTGGCCATTATTTATTAGTGAGGTCTAATTAGTTTGGTTGACGCAAGGCTTACAAAACCATGATGACTTGGATTAGTAAGCATGTTTAGGGTTGGAATATTGAAATTATTAATTAAACCACTAAATCTACTGTTTACTGCATTTTAATTTCTTTTAAGTATGATAACTTTTTATCATACGTACTTACAATAAAAAATATTAGATAATTTTTTATTATAAACTAATTCAATTTAATATTTTAAATATATATATATATATATATATGATGCTTACAAAGACGAATTAATATTTTATTATAATCATTATAAATTTAAATTTAATATTTTATCATGAGATATAGGGTTTGTTTTAATTTTCTTTCTTTTTCCTTAGTCGTTATTAGTTTCTTTTTTTCTTCATCTTTATCCTCGACGACGGTACTAATTTTGATACGTTATCGACTGATGATATTCATTATTTTTCATTTGCTTTATTATAGAGTATATTTGTTTTTTTATTTTTGATAATTATGTCTTTTTGATACGTATTTTTTCGCATTTATGACACATTTTTCTTTACTTCTATGACACGATTTCGGTTGTTTGATCGTTGTTTTTATTTATTTTTTAGGGTTAGATTGATATCGCAACGACTGATCAAGATGACGATTATTTGTTATCATGATGATATTTCTTGCTTTAGACCCTCGAATTGAATTTAGATATGTGATTTGCGCACATCACTCGATTCTGATTTACGGTTTGTCCGTAGTTTTTCAATAGTTTTATTATGTTTTGTGGTCTTAGGTTAGGCAATGTTAGAGTGGAGTCAAATGTGTTTTCCATTTCATGAAATGAACAAACATCCGAAAGTGAGTTCCATTTTAGTAAGAATAAGTTTACTCTTTTTCTTATGTATTTTTGTTTCCTTTCATTCAATTACAACAAGTCCATTGAATTACTCCAATAAAATTGTATATATTTTAGTTTTACTTAGTCCACAATGTTAATTTTTAATTTTATCACTTTATTTTAAATAAAATATTAATTTAAATTCATAACCCAATTAATATTTCTCATCATCTATTGTTGTTTATCATTATTGTCGGATGTCTTCGTTGACTGTCATAAACTATAATCATCAATCACGATTACACTATTTTTTTAAAAAAATTTCTCTCTCTTTTTATTTTTTAATATGAGTATAATATTTATTTCGCCAAAAATTAACATGATAAATTTTTTTAGTACTATAAGGTGATTACAAGATAGTATTTGTTCAAAACCTTTTTTAATAATTGACAACACATACACAACCACATACGTAACTGTTTGAATCCAGAACTTCTAGAGAAAACAATATTCCTTTAACCACTAAGAACACTTGATGAATTTTATAATGATGAAATCTTATTAAACCTGAAAAGATTTTATTAATATTAACCCGACTAAAACCCGATCTGATCCATCCTTGATAATTCACTAGATTTTGCATGTAGACAGGATTAGGGATGGGCATGGGTTGGGATTCGGCCAACCTGACCCGACTCGAAAATTTTACATCCTTCACCAGACCTGATCCAACCCAAAAAATATATACCCTCCACCCGACGCGATCCCGATCCAAATTTTTGAGATAAAATCCAAACCCGATATGACCTGACCCAAAATAATAAAAAAATATTATTATTATTCAATAAAAACAACGATTTAATTGAAATAATAATAATATATAGATGTGTATTATTGTAATTATTCCTAAATATATAAGGTAAAATTATATTTTTTTTGTTAGGTATTTTTCACCCTAAACTCAAATCCAACATGACATGAACATCACATTTAAAAAATCTGACTCGACCTAAACTCGAATTTTTTAAAGTCGGGTCAGGTCGAAACCCGTCGAGATCGGGTCCATGCCAATCCCTAGACGGGATGGATCGTCTTTGTTTTTTTCCCATGTCTAAATATAAATAAAGTCAAAATTATTAAATATATTAACAATTTAATTTGAATATTATACCTATATATTAAAATTATTGTGTTAATTACGATGAAATTACTTAGGTTGATTTTACTGTTTTCATAGTATTCATATAACTTTGGGTAAATAATATCATTTATCAGTGAATTTTATTCTTCCTCTTATTTTATTCATTATATTTTTAACTTTTTTAATTTATTCATTGAACTTTCAAATTGTTCTTATTTTGATCATTATAAATTATTTTATTATAATTATTCTATGATGTGTATTTTTTACTATTAAATATAAAAATAATTTAAAATAAATAGTAAAATAA